TATCAATTCTGATCCTCTACTAGTTATTGTATAAAATGATGACCTAAGAGAGTAATTATTTTATAACTATGATAGTAACCTTGGTCGATAGAAGCACCTCCACTGGTGATAGAGCAGATGATAATAGTTTCCCTTTTCTCAAAATTGTATAATAATCATCTAACCATATTCCTTCACATTATAGATACTATTTTTGCCGTCGAATTTTAAAAATACGTAATTATTTATATTTCTACACTATATATAGGCCTATATATAGACATAGGCCTATGTTATTTTATTTATTAGACAATTAGGCCTATAATATAATTGTAAACGATGAGGAAATAAACTATATATTTATAATAAACCTGCAGTAAACATTACTTTATTGACATTGTTTATATTCACATAATTTTAAAGTTAAGAATATTATTGTTTTTATTGCATACATGAAGAAAATTAGGCCTACATATCAGAATATGGAGTTACTAATATTTTTTAAGTCTGTTCTTACCGCCTAACTTGTCAACTTCACTGAACCTTGATATATGATTTAGTACAGTAAGTCAAAACACATAATTTAAGACAAATTAAGAGTACAATGCTTTTACAATCCGTTTATGGCACAACATTTTTAGAAAAAAATATAGCTTGGAATCAACAGTCTAAATTTATAGGCCTATATTTTTTACTTTCGGGTTCATCAAGTTTTAGGAGGCTATGTAACTCTAAATGATTATGAAATGCTAAATATTTCAATATCTTTGCATTCTACCTACCTGAGTCGTCCACATCAATGTTTGTAAGTTGTTCAGTCATTTTAAGTTCGTTTAAATCGTTGAGTTCGGATCAAACGCTTTCTTACTCTTGAGTGCAGAATCTAGACTGACTGTTTCGCGTGATCTGCGAAGCACGTCTAAAAATCAACGGACGCACTGCTCACTGATTACATCGGAATCAAAAATTCATAACACGATGATCATGACGTCATAACAATGTACATCTGCCATTCTTAAAACCAAGATACTGATTGGCTAAGAGGAATTGATTAGTGGACTCACACTAAATGTTTATTGGTCCACTTCGCGATAAATGGCTTTCTGGCTGTGCTCTCCAATTGAAGTAATCTAATTGTTGGCCACAAGTCTTTGAAAACATTTGTTTTATTGGAATTCTCACCTCGTTGTTGGGAAAGCATACAAAGGACTTCATAAATATAAGTTCGATTTACATATTTTCAAGTGTTGTAGTAATGATTTGATGGACTCGGCGTGTAATATTCATAAGATTTAATTCGCTACTGTAACAACTTTGTATCGAAGAGCACTCGAAACATTAATTGTTTTAATAGGGTTAATATTGTAAATCGAAAAGTGCTAACTTCTATGTAGATGCTGTTTTATCATAATGTACTGTTCAACCACTGGCCATGATCATTTATACTTTTTTTTTTATTAAATGTGTTTTAGGCCTATGGGGTTTCAAGCATGTTTGAAAACAAATTAAATAGGCCTCATAAATGTTTTGATAAATATAAAGGAAACGAATTACCGGTATCTTAAACAAAACATACCAAAATTTAATACTACATTAAAAGCACATTTTATTGCATCCAACTAATACAAATATGACATTATTTAGGCCTATATCCACAATATATATAGGTTAATAACACATGATAATCAAATATAATTCTATCACATAGTAGTAACTTTTGTATGGAGAAATACCTGAGGAATGGCTAGTATTGCCAATAGCGAAAGACAAGTGTTTTTCGAAAGCCCTGGTTCTACCTACGGTTGTTAACTTACGTTCTAATTTTAGCATTTGCGTATCAATTTTGTATCTCAACCGGCTACCGTTTCCCGCAGCATTGCTGTTTTCGATAATTTTAGCTTTGAGCAGAGTGCTCAATGGTAATGAAACCAGAGCGAATTAAGGACAAAAAATGAGAGGTTCAACAGTAGCTTTGATTAGACATATTTATTACTAGGCCTATTTAGTTTCGTGCTACACATACATGGTGCAGCACTCTTCAGATAAAATTGTCTAATTCCAATCCAATCCAATCAGAACATTTGTAAAGCGCCTTTCTTTGCAGATACGAAGCGCTGCACCCCACATATTTAGGCACCTCACAAACCACAAGCAGCCGTGATCATTGCCTAACCCAAGCACAGAACAAGTAAACAAATCAAAAGAAGCAGTGGCAAAGCCTGTAAACATGAGTAAATAATGCAACAATAAAAATAAAAAAATTAGACAATTTTATCTGAAGAGTGCTGCACCATGTATGTGTAGCACGAAACTAAATAGTAATAAATATGTCTAATTAAAGCTACTGTTGAACCTCTCATTTTTTGTCTTTCGAGCTGTTTACTTACATTTATTGTTTAGCTGTTGCTTATCATATTTTATCTCTACCGAGATGCAGTCATGTTTCCCACAGCATTGTTGTTTTTCAATATTTTACCTTTTAATTTATATATAATTATATATTATATATTATATTATATAATGTAATTATCATGCAAGTGACTCACCATTTACAAGGTAGGGATTTATGCAGTGTAGACACATACTAAGCCTCTTGATGGGGCTTAGAGTGTGCAGTTGTTTCAGTCGTGTTTTCAAACAGGGGTAATTATTACTTTATTTGAAACGACACTTTTGAAACAATGGCACACGTAGGCCTACTTGCGATGCGTTCGTAAAAGTAACATAAACGTAATAAAAAAAAAGTTACAACATTTTACAAAAGTTGAGTATTTACACACTTCTTCATCTAAAATGCCCGTTAAAAATTGTATTGAGGACCTGTTGTAAAATTTTTTAAAAACAATAGATTTAAAGATAAAATAGAATGAAATAACGAGATTTTTATAAACCATATATATAGAACTGAATATAAAATATTGATATTCATATATCGCAGGATTTGAACCCAGTTCCCTGAGTTTTGTAGAAAAGCATCGTATCCACCAACCTACAGCAGCTCCATTTGATATTGTTATTTAAGAATAGGCCTACATGCGTTCAAGCAATAAATTCACAGTCGTGGCGGGAAAACTTGTCATATTCGTCATATATAAGTGTTAAGCAGTGTCACTAATCCAAGACCTAAGCTAACCTTGAGGCTAGACACCTCGCGCTGGTAGTAATGCGGTTAATGGGTGCGAAGAGATCAATACGCCAACGGAAAGAGCAGAAAATCGGTCCCGGCGTTGCTTGTTCTAGAGTTACGAAAATACGGATTGGATGTGAGATTCAATTAATCAGGCTTTTCATCCAAGCAAATTTACCTTCTTAGACAAAATCTAATTGAGAGCGAAATGGAAATATGTCGATGGCAAGTCGGTTAGTTCATTGATCGTTAGTATTGTTATTGTTGCACAAATTACTCGAATTGCATATAACATTATCGGGCGAGGGAAAGGTAGCAGCCGCAATGAAACATGTCACACACTGGGTCCTTGTGTATGTGTATACGGTGCGTGCTGCAAGTACGCCTTTTAATGCACATCACATTTAGTGCACACGCACGCAATATGAACCACGTTTCCGCCCTAGATATACTGTACTACTACTAGGCCTACTACAACGAATACGAGCCTACTTCCTTTTTTATTCATCAAAACATTTTTTATCTTAACATACGATAAGTAGCCTACTACTACTACCACTACTACTACTACTACTACTACTACTACTACTACTACTACTACTACTACTACTACTACTACTACTACTACTACTACTACTACTAGGACTACTACTAGGACTACTACTAGGACTACTACTATTATTAGTTCGATTTACAAATGTGTTATAAGCGTAAAATAGGATACAATATATTATGTATTATTACTATCATTATCATTATTATTATCATTATTGTTATTATTATTATTATTATTATTATTATTATTATTTATATAACAGTGTTAATTCTTTTCAAACACTTTTTAACAACAATGATTGTTATGTATATACAGTGGATGCTTAGTTTATTTTGTCATTCTGATCGAATTTTCTCTACTGTTCCGTTTTAATTTTAATTTTAAATTGTTTTGCATTATATGGCCGTTTGCTGTTTTATGGGTTTTTCCCATTTGCCTTTCAAACTATAGGCCTATAATTATTATAGGCCTATGTTTAAAATCAATAAAACATCCATCAGATCTGCTAGGCAGGCAATTATACTGAGAAAATACAACATTTTGTAAGCAAATTAAATGATCTGCCAACGAATTAGACAGATTCGAAGATGGTGACAAGCAATCTGATTCATTATTTGAGATCATAAAAAGGGCACTAAATACATACATCGCATGTCATGGGTTAATTGGCCAATCAGTTATCAGGATATTCAAGATTTGGGATTGATGCGTACGCGCTCACCAATTTTTGAGAAAGGTAACATTAGTATATATGCACGAAAATAAATATATAAATAAATGAAATAAGTAACGTAATGATACTAATATATGGCTAAATGATGCTCATACTTCAATATCGTGCATATTGCTAGCCATGCGCAAATAATAATGCGCAAATAACCACCCGCAATCATGCGCCGCTAATACGTTTCCGGCAATTGATAAATCAAATTACTGATTGTTAATGAACTGGCCACAAAAATACTCACTGTCGCTTTAAACTAAAATTTAGAAAAAATTTTACCCGTGAACGGAAATGCGTTTATTGAAGAACAAGTAGGCCTACCTACTACATAGAACGTAAGGAACAAAGTATTAACAGAATTTGAAATGGATTACTCCCTAGCAACAAATACATCAGCACGACTTCAAATTGAATCAATGATTTTATTATAACCTTCACTTATGAATACCTTGTGATTGTACACAGACTCATCCGCACATGATTTATGGTCAACTTTTTGATCTGGATAAAAAAGTAATTACGCTTGAGTTTATTAATTCTGTCAAAAACCCACGAATGACCATTCAGAATAAATAGGTTTTAATCGAGAGCCGTGCAGATGCTATTACATTAACACAAAGGCATCTTGTCGAGTACATTTGTATTTTTTGTGCTTTTAATGATCTGTTTGTAGTTTCTCCTCGGGTGATTATTTATCAGTTGCAGCATTATCATCCATATTTAACTATCTTGTCATCGCTTACCCCATTTGTAATCGTACCTGTCAGCGGATCATCTGGTATTTTAGCGACATTAGAAGCATAGTTCATCAAGTACACCGGTCATTAAAACTGCACACATTTCTTCACTTCAACGCAATTCCAGTTGAACAAAAGACCTGTCAATGACTTCAATACAACGTAATTTATCGCTCTTTGCCTAAAAGTTCTCAACAAGAATTATCGTGCGCGCATGCGCAGTGGTCCACCATCCCACTACAATCAATTTAAACATTTGTGTTAAGTGAAAGGAGGGTATACTGTCAGGACTATATTAATCCAGATGTTCATCAGTCCTACAGGACAAAATAGGTATGACAAGAAAGAAATAATATTTTTCTGTTATAACAACCTCCGTGGAAAATCAAAATTACACCTTTTTTCACATTCCAAAATATTAACAAATTGAACAGTTTTAGTATATAAAATGGAAAGGCAAAACATGGCCGGCGGAACCGGGGGGGCCGGGGGGCCCGGGCCCCCCCCCCCCACTTTTTGGCAAAAAATATATAATGTCTGGAGATTTTTGTATGATCGGAAATGCAAGAAAAGAAGGAGGGAAGAAGGAGGAGAAGGATGGGAAAGAGAATGTTTATCTAGTACCCGACCGAGTTACATTTTCTTGCAATTCACATTGGCGGATATGGGGGAAGGGGTCATGGGTCCTGACCCCTCCCTTGGGCAACAAAAAAAAAGGGGAAAAGAAAAAGAATTCTAGACCTACCTTTTCAGGACCCGTGAGCTGATTTTTTTTTTT